AACTAGCAAAGTGAGTTGTTCTGAATGCGTATCAAAGTACGCTGGCATCCGGGCTAAGTAAGCGCCCACTGAACACCGTTGAAGATCACTGGTTGCATATTCGCCAGACGTTACTATCAGCAGGCATGTCTTCATATGGTAAATCAAGTTACCAAGCTGGACATGGTGTTCCTGGAAATTCTGGATGCTCGCTGACGTATTCCGCCTGAAAGCGAATACAATGACACTCGCATAAACCTCAGGGAAGAAAAAGCGTGTTAGATTAGATAGAGATCGCGAAGCCTGGTGGTCTCATCGTGCATTGGAATTGGAAACAGCCGCTGCCGTTGATAATCCGTCTGATACGGGAAACGGGCTGCAGGAGACCTACTGTTAGAGAGACCACACACGAGCAGAGTGGACACCCGATCCACAACTTGTCAAAGCGCTTCAAACGTTGAGCCGAACCCTTTGCAATACAGTTTAACGGATCTGAGTTCTCACTTTTTTTCGGGCACCGAGTACCCTTCTCCCTGAACCGTCTCCTTGAGTCCAGCCTCACACTCAGAATTGGAGTGTGATATCGGACTGTTGAAATTACCCTCTTCATATTCGGAGGACTTGCTCTTGTAGATGGTTTATGCGCATCATTAGTGAAACTTTAAGAGCAGGAAACTGCCTCAACAGACGGGAACGGTTTCGTCATTGTCCCACTTTTCAAGGGAGGCTCACGTTCTGAATGCAGCAATCCTAAAGAGATCAGTCTGATCTCAATCTCCTCACAATGTTCGGGCATGTGTTGGATTTCAGGCTAGCGTACTCGAGGACAATGGAAATCACCCATGATTAGACATTGGGATGACCCATATGGCTTCGGAGATGCGGCAGACAATCCAAACAATAGTTCAAGGGACTGCGATAACGGTACGCCCGAGCAGCTCTCCGCGCCTGAGTTGGATCGGGCACTACAGCTGCTCACGCGTGCTATCATTGCTTCTGTAGACACTCACATGTCTCCCACACAGAGATGCCCGAATGTAGAGCAAGACGCCACCTGGGACAGTCGAGGGTCTATCGCAACCGAGGCATGAGTAGTCCCTGAGCTTGATTTCTTGGACATTCACCCCAGAATTCAGCCATGTCTACGAATTCTACTACGTTTGGCCGCTAGGATGCGACGAAACGACAGAGTTCATGGCATTTGTTCATAAGACTGAATACGCCAATAAAGGCTGCACACAAGCCGTTGCAGGGACCGCCGGGTGTGCTTAAAGTGTAAGTAGCCTGTTTATGCGGAATCTGTTTATGTGGAATCTTGGAAACGACCCGAAAGTTTATGATACGGAGATTTGTTTCCCCATTACGATTTCGTCTTTTCAGCTCATTAATGGTGTAGTTAAGCCGTCATCGATCCACTGAATCCAGATCTGGACGAACATGGATCTTTAAACCTTCCAACCTATTTAAACAGTACAAGAGCAGCATCGGATTGGCTTCGTCTACAAAGGTGCTTTTCACTGGCCGATTTTGTTGATCATCTTTCTTTCCAAGTAAGGTCATTCGCTTCACTTTCAATCTGTCTTCATCCACATCGATTAGCTTATCAGTTGAGCTTTGTAAAAATTCGAAGTCATGATCATGGCGCCTCTTGGATAGATGCGGTTGGATCACTTACTCAAGCTCGTGGAAAATCACGATGGTAAAGCGCCTCTAGTCTGCCAGGATTGATCTTGCAGGGTGAGCATTTCCCCGAGTTTCACCTGGTCTGACTCGCCGTTGGTCCACAGCGGTTGGACTGTTCATTTTCCTGCTTTCTCCGTCCTTGCACTTCCCGCGGGTCTACAGTACACAGGTTTTCATACACTGGGACATTTGTTCCCGTAAAATATGACAAGTTAAAGGTTCGCGTCAGGTGAAATTGGGCTGTCCGTAAGGGCGGGACTTCGAGTTGGTGTGTTTAGCTGGGACGAACAGGAAATCTTACCTGAAACCTGGAGGCGTTTCGGGCTAGCTTGTTGGGTCAAACACATGGAGCTACTCACAACGGAATGATTCACCCTACAAGGTTGCGGTTCTGCTCTACCTATTCCACCTGTATTTCGTTTCGGTAATTGCTTACGCAAAATTTGCATAAAAACATGATGGATTTCACGAAAACATCCGAAATGCTCATCCGATAGCCCAAAGCAGGAAATGTGGATTTTAACGTGACACACAACATGTGAGCGCATCTGTTCGATTTCCGGTAACCTTGGAACATGCACCGATCTCACCAACAACATTTGCGGCACCAATCTCGTTGGAGTTACTCGTCGCTTGTATCTCAGCTATCACTGCACGAAAATGGATTACGGTCATGTGGCTCCTATTCATCTAATGTGACGACAGGTTGGTCGTCATTGTGATAACCAGCGACGATACTTCTGTTACTGTTTACAACGTGAGGTGGGTGTAGCCGACGTTTTTCAAAACTTTGCTACCGAAAACAGCATTCTGCTTATCGCTAGCTTTTCTCGGTTGAGGTGGATCACTAACTTAGCGCTTTGCCGTTGATAGTAAAGAAACATAACTGTTACTCAGAGGCTTGGTACTACTCGCTATGTACCAATCGGCCGCTGGCAAATAACCTACCTAGCTGTCAAATTCGCATGCGGTCCACAGTAATCACATGCACACATAACAAGATCAAATTGACCTATGCTTTCTGCGACCATGTTATAGGATTTTGGGGTCATTTCTACTCGGGCGAATTCATACAGAGTTTTGCATCGCATTGTATATTCGTTTGTTCCACAAAACTCATGGGTCGTACTGTTACGTCCAACACCATGTTAAAATGAGACTCGTGAGTCGTCAGAACCGATCCATGCAGTTAGAGCTAGGGCTCTAACAAGGGGTGAGATGTTACCGCTGCAATTCGTCCTAGGTCAGCATATCAGCCCTCTGTTGACCTTCACAATGTATGGGAAAGCCTTTTCAGTTTGACGACTGGCGTGTATTAGCCGTATCTGTAGGACGGATCAAACGCATGGAAGTGTGCGCTTCACCGACATTGGCCGCAGGTTGTTACCAAGCAATATAGTGACACAGGTCAGTGAACATCTAACCTGAGAAAGCAGCGGTTGGACGACCGATCTCCGTCTGATTTAATATGGCATCCATAGTAGATGTACCTCCGGCCATATGCGTCAATGCAGTCGCTTGGGGAGTCGGTCCGTCGCACTAGACTCCACTGAGCAGCTTCCTTTTACTAAGCTGACTGCCTGTTTGCGGTGCCCGCCTATCGTTCGTTCATACACCCACATAGGTAGATGTATCACTTTTGACGATAAAATTACTCAAAAGGCTATCAGACGTATCCGTATGGTTCAGATTGCTCTTCAGATGCTTACTAACCAGTAGTATGTGAGTGACATCTTCCACTTGGTCAAGGACAAGATGCGCAGTTGTAAAATGCAACTATCGCTATCATATGATTGCGCGGAGTAGCAAGACTACGATTTGGTTATTAGTAATCTAAAATCCGTTCGTATAACTCCTAAGTCCTATGTGGTATACGGTCGCTATGCGGCGGTTCCCTAGCTCGTGGGGCCAACTACTGTTCTCTGTACAGTTCGTAACTGGCATGGCAGCGGAGCATGTGCTGGGCTATATCATAGTCAACTGTCAGACATGCAGGTCCGCGGTCGTCACTAATGGCTTAGTGACACTAACTGTTGGCACCCGAATATCGTGGAGTCGGAAATCAGCAGGGGTCCGATGGAAGGCGAACCACTGCCGAGACCCATAAAGTCGAAACAGCACTGTCTGGTGCTTTTCCAGACGCGTTAAAGCCTACCGACTGAGATAGGACTGCGATGAATTATCTGTGATATTAATAGATCGTTTGCTTTCCAATTACCATTTTCATTTTATGGAACAACTGTGCGAGCAATCCCGCTTTCCGTCAACTGAACTTTGGTAGCATGCACTTGTTGAGTGGACCGTCTTCCTATGTCCAACTGCTACCCACGTGGGCCTGCATTGTTTGCATTGTTTCAATTTACCGAGTGAGACTGCATGAGGACATTCGGTAACGTGGCACAGAAGTGCAATTACATTGTCTGACAACTTGATGGGCTTCACAGGTCTGACTCCTCGGTGGTTGAGCACCCACTCCAGCCCGTTGCACTCAGGAACCCTATGGTTCCATCTATATATCTATTGGTTGTTATTTTCATCTGACAATCGTAACTTTTCCGACATCCGTATAATTATCTTTTCCTTACATTTTCTCCTGCTGATGTTGTTTGGTATCCTCCTGGCTGTTCGAGTTGCGGCAGCTGCATCAATTGCTTCAATGCTCGGGAATGGCGTATGTACTACTTGACTTAGTCAGCCACGAATTACGTAATCTTTTCATTTTAACGACATCTGGCTATCTGTAACAACCATAGCGATCTCATTGGCAGCGCACTTACTGTCTAAATGTTACTAGTCATCTAATTTTCCTAATTTACCATTTCCTTTCTCTCATTTCTCGTTTTGCCAGACGGCCTGATCCAATGGGCGATGCCCCCGACGACAATCTTTCGGCTCAAGAAATGCCATTTACTCCGAAATCGGGCTCTGTTCTTTCGCAAAACAGAAAAAATGAGAAGCGGCTCATACGAGCACTGCTTGCTGTCTACATTGTGGGTAAAATTTTCGGAGACATCGGAGATGTTAGCGTTTCCTTTGTGGCGCCTTCACACGGAATTCAACTGGGGTTGAGTCCTGTTACGGTCAGTATATCTTCGTCCCCATATTTTGTGGATTATTGGATTCTCCTGCTTAGGTTACGGTTTTGTCTTTATTTTAGCTTTTCGTCCACCTGATGATCATCTAACTTTCAACACATGTGTTTTGTTCGAATATATATATTGTAACTTGTTGAAGTTACCAGCACTTGGACAGTCGATCGCTATGTAATGTGCCACGTAGGATGATTTGCCTTGGTGCTCATGCTTTCCCAACGCCAACCAGCGCCAATATTTATTCTCTGATTTATATGGGCCAAGAGCTCATCTAAAATGTTGGATAGGAGCACATCCTGAATGTATTCTGGCTCTGTATACGCTCGATCAAATTCCTCCATGCTAACCACTGAAGCCACACATCCGCACCACGCTGAAAACTGAGGTGGCCAGAGGACTTGCTTGTCTCCGTTTTGTTTGGTTTTATTGGTTATTGTCCTACGTTATCTTAATGGCTTTTCCTTCCACCTCAGTTGATGATTAGAGACCGGAGAAAATCACTTCTAGGCGTCTAGGTTTGTAGTCGAAACTGGGGTAGCATTCATTTATATGACACCTATTCGTCCCATTAAAATCCTTCTCACATCCCGACTGCCCTACACTTTGATTTTGTGTAGTGACTCAGTTCGTTCTCCTTTGTCGGTTTGGGTGCTCCAGTTGCATCCAAACCGACACGTAGGCTTTAATTCCCCAAATAGCAACCCCACGGACTGCGACAGACCGCGCCCACGAGCAGTTCACTGGTCCCGAGGTGGATCAAGCACTACGGTTGTTCACTCAGAGCATCTTCGCTTACAAGCCTTTTACACTGAATGTATAGCAACAACTACCGCTGTCATATGATAATCTGCTGCGATTTCCTAGAGAGTTGCCTCAGCATTCGATCCGGTCTCAATAAGTCCAAATACCTCTGACAGGCGACAAAATGGCGCACCTTGTCGCGGTAGGAGCCTTCGCGCGCGCATGTAACACAAGCAACCTCTTGGCCCGGGTTCGTCGAAACGTGGGAACTCACCGAGATTATTGGACAGAAATTCCATTCTCCGGTATCAGTTTCGTTCAGTGCTTGCAGACCGGAGTCCTTTCCAGTCTAATGGACCCAAATCGGCTAATATGTATCCTCGAACTTCTTAGTCCGCCTAGACGGAACTGTATCACACGGACTAGTTTCGTCAACAAAAGTGACTCATATGGGCCGAGTCTTCTCGTCACTATCCTTTTAAAGATGAGTGCTTTGCTTCACGCTCAACCCGTCCTCATTCACATCGAGGAGTCTATCATTTGGACAGTGTTAGTGTTCGACGTCGTGATCATAGGGAATTTGGGGATCTTGATCAGTAAACTCAAGTGTGTAAACTTCCTAATATTGCAACACTTCCGATCACTCATAGTTGCTTCCCTCCTCTGTTTTCTGTTTTTCACTAGTTTTCATCAGTTAAGCTGTCGAACATCTAGGCATTAGGGCCCATAGGACGCGATGCAGACAGGCCAGCTGAGTTCCACCCAGCGGACGGGCTTCGTTCTGAGGAGCGTGCTGCCGACTAATAATAGGGCTCTCTCGAACATACGAATGGCTGGGTGTCCGTCTATCGGGATGAGCACAATTGATCGCCATGGAATGCCTCACTCTACTTACTGGATCCCGAGGCTTATCGACCTCAGACTGTATTCGGGTCTAAAAATTTCACACAAAGTTTGGACAAAGTCTTGCTGAATTCCATGTAGTGCTTTATATTGGCCCGACCATTTGGGAAGAAATTTACCGAGCGACCGCTTCTTCATTACAGATAGCTCAATAAGTAACTAGTAAAAGAGCGAAACCTGAAAACGTAAAACTAGTCTAACAAAATGCAAAATGAAGAGTTATTTAAGATAAGGTAATGTAGAATCAGCGAAGAAACTGAAATGTGTTGAACTAGATGCAGTAGCAATATTATGCACAGTGCAGTTTTTGAGGCAAACGGACCTGGAATTAGACCGCGAGGCGTCGACCTTTTAGTCAACCGCGCACTGACAATCCGTCGTAAGTGAATCTTATTGCGGCTCATCTCTTATTTGCTGTTCAACGTGGATACTGCATGGACTGTCGCTGCGAAATGCAAGGTACTTACAAACTCTTTTGAAGTCATGATGTCGAACGGCTGCGCCATTTGTGCTAAAGCGCGCGTGTCAACAATTCCGGGGAAACACCAGGGTTCAGAGAGTTCAGGGAGTACCATTGTTTCTCACTCGCGTGTACTTTCGTAGGGTTGCAACGCAACGCAGATATTTTGATATTTGACCAAAACCGGCTCGTTAAACCGTCCATATTTGGAAAACGTAGCACGTAGTACCCCGCTCTCATATTAACGAGGGTAACATAAATCCAACGCGGTTCATCCAGTTAGAGAATTAGACGTGAGCGTAACTGCGTCTTCAGGTTCAGCCAAGTATCCATTACATGCGTTCCCCCTTGTGGAAACATTTAGACGCACTGGGGACTTTTGTAACTTTCGGAATATTTTTGCATTTGCGGCGTCATTTTCTTTTTGTATAGTACCATGAATAGTCCTTTCTGTTTCGTGTTCCTTTTCGTTTCTCTTCAAGGTGCTTGAACGAAGCAGAAGTGACAGTGACAATCCACTTGTCGGTTAACATCACTAATTACAATAACAATTGCGCTGCCGCTATATCTGTTTTTCTCCGACTTTGCTCTTATTACTGTCATTTTCCATCTCATGTTGCCTAGCCCTTCAACAAAACGTCTGTAATCTAATCATTCAGCTCAGAGAGCAACGCAGAATCCACACCCTGGCTACCGATATTCTCAACTATCTCAAATAACCGATCTTCTTCGTGCGCTACTACCTTGGTGTTTTCTATTAAATCCTGCACTTTTAGAACGCGCGCACCCTATCCACAACCGCTCACTCCAAAGTTCCCTCTTGTTTTATTTTCTATTGCCTACTGTCAATCATTTCGAATTTGTTGCACTTCGAGGGATACGTCACCACAGATCGTTGCATTCTCCGCATTCGTTTTTAGGTAAGTCGTGCTATTGCCTTCTCAGGTGCAGTCGATCTAGTCGCTCGCTTGGGAGTGGGCTGGCTAACTGACCGGCCGTGCTGCATGGGACGCCGGGGTATTCTGCTGGCTCTTGTTTGGATTTTCACTGGAATCAATGCGCTAGCTTTCTCTGCCCTGCGTGGGTTGGAAACGGACGACCGCTTGAAGGTGAGTGCTACGTCCGCAGATATATATATATATATATATATATATATATATATACATAAACGCAACAGTCTATAAAATAGACATAGAGCTATACACAACTATGGAATTCGGAATAGAGATTAATAAAACGGACAAACATGTAAGAGGATTTGATAATGCACGAACAAACTATAGAGTTTTTTGTAGTTTTACGCGCGCCATATTGTAACTTTTTATCGGTTTTTACGAGTGTTTTTGAATGTGAAATCAAGCAGACTTACGCGCGCTGCTTCCACTGCAACCGGTTTTGCGCCATTGGTTCCAGCGTTGTGAGCCATTGGCGTTCTTCATCTTTGGGTCCCCAGCCGGGGAGTCGCACTAGATCAACGGTGGCCAAACAAGATGTCATCAATTTCATGCATTGCCTCCAGATGTGCGGTTGACTACAGCGCGGTCTTTTCCAAACTAGCCCTGCGTGCACAAACAGGCCGCGGCGTGGTAATCACTCGTTAGGCATGCGCAGGACTTGGCCAAACCATGTCAATTGACGCAGCCGGACGACATCACAAAGCGGAACTTCCTCCTTACCCAACGCCCGATATCTAACGTCATCATTACACACTTGGTGTTGCCAACGCACGCGGGCAATCCTCCGCAAACAGCTACTGTCGAAGACCGAAAGTCAACGCATGTCTTCCGCACGGATCGGCCAGAATTCGTATCCGTACAGCAATGTTGTGCTTACACAGGCTTTGTAAACCCTTCCTTTTAGCGAGAGTGAAATGTCGCGACGGTGCCACCAATTTCTTAACTTGACAAGCGCTGACCGGGATTCGAAGGAATACCTCGGCTCCAATAGTGCTGTCGGCAGAGACGCAGCTCCCTAGGTAGATAAAACTGTCTATGTGTTCGAGCTTTGTGCCTTCGATGATGCATTGGGGAAGAGGTGCCTGCCAGTCCTGTAGAAGAACTTTGCACTTTTAGGGGGCAAAGCATATACCAAGCTTAGACCCTTCAATCATCAATCGATCAATGAACGATTACATCCCATGGGGGTCGTCACTGAGCAAGGCTATAGCATCAGCCTAGTCTTAGTCATTTGCGCGATTACCTGGAAGAAGCTCGATGCCGATGCTCTGCAGGCCCTCTAAAGCTCCCGAAAGGACATCGTCGATCGCAAAGTTGAATAAGAACGGTAACATTGCGCATCCTTGTCTCACGCCACTGGAGACAGGTAGGAGTGAGGAAACTGTGCCATAAGCTCTCACTCAGCCTAAGATGTGAAGGTATAACGCGCAAAGTATAGCGGCGTACTTTTCCGGGACTCTATTCTTCAGCAGGTAATTTCATAAAGCATGTCAATCTAGCGAGTCGGACGTATTCCCAATATCCAGGAGTGACAATGGTGGCTCTGTGACAGAGGTGACTGCTCCAGGAGTTGGCGAAGAGCGAAAATCTGATCCACACATCCTCGACCGGGCGAAAATCAGCTTGTTCCTCCCGGTAGTGTGACTCACGAGTGGGGGATAACCTGCTGTACCGCCGTATTGGAACAACTCTTGGGGAAGTTCATCTGAGCCAGCCGTCTTAAAGCGCTTCAAGTGACGAATCTCAAGACAAACCTCCGCTTCGGTTGGTGGTTCGAGTGGCACTGACCATGGCATGCGACTGTGTGTCCTAAGTGTAAAGGTGTATAGCGTCTCAGCAAATTAGTGATTTTCGACCCGTCCGCCTCACTGATGATCTTGCTGATACCAGACCTCCTGTGTCCACTAGTCCGAATGAGCTGAAACAGCTTACGAGTGTGTCCAGGGAGGGCGGCGGCCTCCATCTCCAAGGCGCGTTGGGACCACCAAACTTCCTGATCGCTGCGAAGTCTTCGTTTGAGTTGTCTGCTGATACGACGAAATTCTTTATAGTCTGGGTTTACTGAGAGAATTCGACGGCAGTCGAACAGTACCAAGGAGCACGCCGATATCCAACACTTCTAGGGGTGATGTGATAACCTATAGACCGATTGACCTGTAGTTCACATTGCTTGCTGCAAGAATTTCCAGTGGTGTTCAATATCAGTGGGCGGGACACAGGCTAGTGTGCTTGTCAGTGATAGTTGGTAGTCTAGCTGAGCCGACTGACCAGCTAGCCTGTTCGTAACAAGCTTACAGAGCCTCCGTCTCTGGTTTACTCCGAATCGCATGTAAATGTTGACACAGACCAGTGCGTGAGCTGAATCGAGGTTGGTAGACCAAAACGATCTACAGTCTGCTATGCTGCCACCTCACCTGACACTGATTGCAATGTGGTCTATTTGGGACCAAGCCTGCGACGGTGATGGAGGACGCCAGGTGGCAGAGCGTCTCCTCGAATGCCTGAAGTTTGTGCTCGTGAGAAATAGGCTGTCTTCGCACACATTGAGTAGCCTGGTTCCGTTAGCTGAACGACTCTCGTTTGGTGCGTGATGATCACCCAGGTGATATTCACCTGGTTACAGTCGACCGACACATGCGTTAAACTCTCCAGCAAGGGCAATGACACCCGACTTGGTGGCTTTGCATAATAGCTTATGAGGCTACAATCGGTTTGCGTGTAGGCAGAAACTACAAACAGATTGCATTTTTCAGCGCGATGTCTGCTAATCCTGCATGAGCGTTGGAGGCGAACTGCACAAAGTCGGCTGTTAACTGGGAACCACTCAAGGAGTGCAGTCTCGACTTTGTTGCTTAACGCCACACCAACGCCGGTCATGCCAGCGGAAGCAGCTTCTGCCTCGCCAGATAAACATAAGTGGTATGTAGCTTCCTGGTTGGTCGGAGATTACAATTGGAGCACAGTATTTGGGTCCTGTAATTGCGTTTCGGAAAGGCAGCAGATATCAATGACGAGGAAACTCAGAGTACGTGCTAAGCCGGTCCATTACCCAATCTCCATAAGCTTCCGGACATTGAGGGTTTCGAGTTGGAACGAAGATCGGGGTCGAAGAATATCCTCAGGCAGGACATCACGGGCAGCGGTGAAACCAGTAGCGGGGTCAAGTCGAGGGAAACTGGGATTATTAGCAGAAGAATGATTGGCGTGTGGTGAAGATCAAGAGGCTTGAGAAGTATGTTATAGAAGTGACTATTGTTGCTTTGGCTTCGCCTGACACAGGATTCACCTCGCATTTGTTCAGCTTGCGCAGGTCACAAAGCTGCATTCCTATTAGTTAAATGTCGACCTACTTGTTGTCTGTCCCTATCTTTTGTAGCCACTGCCAGTTGGACTCTTGATTGGTTATTTTGCTTGCTTCGGTATCCACGGCGTGTGCAGTGGCACGGCAATGACGCAGATGGTCATCGTGTTGTGCGACTGGGTTGGCTCCGCTCGTCTGGCTCACTCTCTGGCATTGACCATGTTCGTTTTGGGCGTGCTCATCTCTCCGGGTCAATTCGCAGTCGGTAAGTTGTCCCTTAGCATCTATGTGTGCCCTAACAGTGCTCTGCTGGACCAATTGCATGGTTGGATATCTTGGATTAATTTTTGAATCGATCGGGAAGTCATCGTTTCAGTATGCTCGATGAACGACCGGCTAATGTATTTGTTGAGCTTACTATGTTTCGATTTAACAAACGTTTCATACTTGTTTGAACGCCTCAACTAGCGAGTGTGAAACCGGTTGAGTCGAACTCTTAACGTAGATGGTACTGGCAGATATCACCATGACGGTCTCATGATGAAAGCGCACACGAAGGAATCGCACACGAAAATTACGCACAGTAACACGCGCACAGGCAGAAAATCGGACACGTAGGCTGCGCACACTGTGAACACATTTTACTATTCTGGTATCATTGTCACAAGTGCCCATATTATCTATTTGTGGCACTTACAAGATCCAATTTTTAGACTATGCCTTCAAAAATAGCAACTTTTGACAATTATGGCATTCACACCCAAGGTGCTCGTTAGTTCGACCGCTGGGAACGTACCCTACTGCGCAGTGTTGCAAAACCATCTACAGAGCTACACAAACTAAGCATCGCTCGCCTACTGCAGATAGCTTAGGTTTCAACGAATCGGCGGCTGAAATCCACTGTGTATCAGCAGGCCGAGTTAAGTTTCCGTCTTCCTTGCCCATCCTTTTGAAGATGCTGAAATCGAAGTCGGCTATTTTCACCCGAGCCAAAGCCTCATAAGGAATGTCAGCAACGTGGGCCTAGACTCCCTTTGAAATCGATATCAACTAGAGACACCAACTCAAGCCTCTGGCTGCACTTACTATTACCGCGGTCGTTGCTATAAGTGCAGTGTTTGATGATTTTTGCGCTTCTTTCCCGAATAAAGAATCATGTAATAAGGTGCTCACATACCTCTGCACGTACGGTTGCGAAACAATCCAGGGCAACCGGTATACTTTACTTAATACTGATATTAGGAATTCACGTCGCAAAAGAAACAAGCTGCTAGACGGTCTTTCTGGTAGTGACAACGAGACATTAAGACTTTTTTGCATTACCGGAATGAACGTCACTGCACAGCCACTCATACAACGTTGCATCTGGGGGAATAATTCGACGCATCTCGAACACTTGAGTCCATCCTCTGATTGGGCTGCAATTTTCCGCTCCTCCACCTAGCTTACCAAGATACAATGTATGAAAGTGCTGCAATTAAGCTAGACATAAGCGCCATTGTTAGAACTCTGGTATGCACTTCGTAGTAGCCTCCTTTTTGAGCTCTGGCTCAA